GGGGGGGGGGGGGTGGGGGGGGGGGGGGGGGGGAGGAACAAAAAGCGAGACTAAGAGGCAAAATAAGGGGGAAAAAAAGAAAAGGCGTCCGATTTTCTCGCTCCCCCCCCCCCTTGTTCCTCGAGTTCAAGGTTCGTCGGGCGAGGAAACATCGCGTGCACGGCGGTCAAGCGCGCTTTGGATTCTGCTAAAGTCTCCTCGAATTATTCGTCCCACATACTTTACACAGAACGTAAAAAAGAAAAGAGAAAGCCAGACCTGCGAAATACAGTACATGCAAAGTACTGCATTAAAAATCGTGCGGTTTCGCCTGGAAGATTCCCAGTCAGTCGGCCGAATTCACGCTTCGGACCACAATTGAGGCCTTTCCAACCCACGTGCTCGCGAACGACCCTGAAACCATTTCCCAAGCCGACTCGCAGTGTGGCAAAGCGAATCTCATTCGATACCTGCCTGACTCGCCACAAAACGGCAGCCATCTAACAAGTCGACCACTGCCAAATCATATGGGCACCACAAGAGCCCTTGCATAAAAATCAAAGAAAATCAAGTATCTCATAGGTTTTTTTTTCCTTCCATCACAACTCAAGTGACGAAGCTCAGAAGCACCTTCATTCTTCCGAAATTCGACGAAAAGATTACCTGCATCACCAATCAACATTTGACGAACTGAGATCAACCCGGATTTCAAACGAAACAAAAAAAAAAAAGAGTACGTGCCTGTGAGAAGACACCCAACAGGAATTAATTCCGGATATTTTCCCATTCGAACGAATGACATCACAGACAAATCTGATGTTACTCATATTATGAATTTACTGTATTACGTTATTTTGGTTGCTCTTGATGCTACAAGCAGAGGTCCTGCTTTTTCATGAAATTATCGAATAGAAAGCGGTACGACGCAAATGTCTGCCTCTTTGCAGCTGCGGAGTTCGTGGATGGGGTTTGTACCCGGCGATTTTATCCTTTTACGCGGTTGGGAATGCGATCGCGCTGGAATACTTCGCATCAGCGATGTGAGATTTCCTAGAACAGGAACTAACGTCGCTCTGGAACCCGAGCAAAATCCATACCCGAGAAGGGGGGGACTGCGGGCTTTACTTTCTAGACGATTTTTATCCCGATCTCAGCGGCGAGAAATGTAGGACAGAGTACGTAATTACTGAGCAGCACGAACAGACGTGGGGGGGGGGGGGGGGAGGACAAAGGACTTCCGGTGGGGGGCGTGGGGGGGGGGGGGGGGGGTAGTACAAAGGACTTCCGGTTCGGAAAATATCGATCCCGGCCAGTGAACAGGAAGAAATGTTCAGAGGGAAACGAGGAGAGGAGGAAGACCCCGGGGTGCGGGGTGGAAGCGTCGAACCCCGGGGTCTTCCTCCTCTCCTGCAGCAAGGGAGTTGAAATCCCCGTCGCCCACGGGGGGTGATGTCGATGACTCATCCACGCGATGCCCGGAACCCGACCCGACCCGACTCAGCGCAACCCCCGCCTCCCATGCCAAACCTTGATCCCTCTCATGGACGGGACACGAATTGATGATCCCGGTTATCGAACATGCACTGGCTCCGGAATGACGCGCTCCTGCTGTTTGCTGCGTTCCGGGCACATCATCCAGAAATTCCGGTTCATGCTTCCTGATTTCATTCGAAAGTTTCATCCCGCAAAAAAAAAAAAAACAACCCAAAAACAAATGCTGCACTTCTCATCGTCTTGCATCAGTCGAGCGTTTCCTCGAGCACAACACATCCGGACTCTACATCATACACCATTTTCGATCCAAAATTACTCCAAAGCTCCATTTCCGAGCATGCTCCACACACACTTTGACTGAGTGAACTTGGGACATCTGCATATGCTTTTTGAACGTTACAAGTAACTATGGATGCAGAGCAGAGAGGCACTTCTTGGCTGAAACACTAAAATTCTGTAACCCGTTTTCCCTTGGATCCAAAACGTACTTTTCCTTGCGAAAATGGGATATCAATATTCGTAGTGGGTTTCACATGTGCTACTGGAACAACTGGTTCGGACCGACGAATAATTTTAAAACGGTTACGAATTTACCGTAATTTGACGTCGACATTGTTGTACTTACTGTATTTAAGAAGATGGCGTCAACTCATGATATAAATAGTGAAACACCAGAATGACTCAAATTATACATTCAATTCCTGATGGAGGGACTCATCGGAGTGCATATTTGCATTCGCATGCGAGCTCGGGATTTTAAAAAAAAATGAAGTTTATCTCGGACTTTCACAATTATAGTTCTTTGAGATATTATCGAGTTGATAATTGAGCCAGGTTGGTCCGAAAATGAAGGGACGACGGAAGCCCGGTCGGTTCGGATGAGAAAATGAATAAGTGCGAGATGCTTCCTTCCCGAACAATCCTCGCCCAGTTCCATCTCGCTGCCTGGCAGAGTTCCAGCAGAACGGTCCCCGAAATCGAACGAGTGCCCATCATTATTATCTCCTCCTGCTTCTCGGAAACAATTGGAACTGCACTTTCCCCGCATGAGAAACGCTGTGTGCTGCACACATCGCGGCTAATTATCATTACATGCTTCTCCATTAGAAAGTTTTTTTTTTTTCTCGTCCACGCGAAATTCGGGTGAAAGGAAGCCTCGTGCTTGACTCACTCGCTGAGTCAGCCATACGATATGCTCTCTCGTAACCAACGAATCCGGACGAGGAAAAGGTGGCATTAGGCAATAAATAAGTGAACTCGCAGGAAAATTGCGCATGGGAACCGACTATTCCGCGTACGGCGCGAAGTCACGAGTTTCCCGGAATATCTGACCAGAGTACAGTACAGTATCGGCATCGTCTTCGTTTTTTGTGAAATTCGGGCCTGAATTACATGCACGCCATAGGTTGATGATCAAATTTCTCATCAGACAAAGGTCCGATCAAAAGGGACGCGTGTTCTGTTCCATAACGGCGAGACGGGCCAAAAAGAGATGCGGACATGCAAGCAGATTTCCCTGCACATCACTGCTCAAACCGTTGGTTTTGTTTTTCATCGATCGATGAAAAATTGTAGATTTTAGTAAGGCCAGGTCACGAGATTTGCTCATGGATGGAGCAGCCAAGAAGAATTTCCTTTTTTTAATCAATAACATGTTACTTCTCCGGTGCTGAACTTGACTCTTGCATCGTTGTCCACTTCCACTTTTTTTTTTAAATTTATATTCGTTATTTTGCGCTGTTTTGGGGAACACTCGGTCGAGTTTCATCAGTACAGAGCAGCTCTTTTTCTTGAAACCCCGAAACTTTAGTTAGCGACTCTCTATGGCGTTAAAGTTGAGCGACAAGAAAGATATACTGTAATGTACAGTGGGGCCCGAAGACCCATAATTGCATCAATGCTGGAACATCCGCAGGTCGGATCACATTCTCCTTGAGAATTCAATGGGAAGATATTATTTAATTGGTTCTTCAATTGATCCAACGTTTAGAAAAATTCCCCAAAAATAGTATAATTTTTTCTCTTAAATTAGAGACACACAAAATAGCTCAGCAGAAAACCACGCAGAATCTGATCGTTTGGCATGAAAGCAGCCCGAAAAGCAAATAAAAAGCGCAAGGTTTCCTATACTGTGCACAGCAGATGATTGAAAGAATTCCGAAAAAAAAGAAGTACTGATGCACCAAATTTCCCAGTTTTGGAGGATGAATCATAGTGAATTTATAACACACAAAAACATTTTCTAATTTTTGCTAATACGGAATTAAAAGCTCACTTTTTCCAAGAGATGTCGAAATTTTGAATTACAAAATGTTTCCATTTTTTCAAAAGAAAATATTGATAGAGTGTCTGTATCTTGGGACATTGTCCGGAAGTCGGGGCAGATTTTTCGAGCCATCAAGTTACGTGTTCTCAAGTCGAATCGTCCTATACCGCTTTTTTTGTGCCCCAATGTACTGTACAGACACCGTACCGTATAGTCGAAGAGATAGATAGAGTGGTCTGGCGAAAAAAAAAAAAACAGAAAATCCAACACAAAAAAAAAAGAAAAGAAAGAACGAGCAAGGCAAAGATTAAAACTCACCCTAACCCTTTTCTCGGTGAGCTTCTCGCAGCGACGCATCTTGCAGATCTGGTGGCTCTTGGAGTTCTTGCAAGGCGCGCAGGAGCCGCAGTTGTCCTTCCGCTGGCAGCCCAAGCATTCCCCGCACCGCTTCCGCTTCTTCTTCACCTGCTTGTCCGCGTCCATGTGGTGGAGGTGCGGCGGCGGCGCCGTGGACGACACGGCCGGGACCTGGCTCACGCTCTCCACGCCGTCCAGGTCCGTCACGTGGACCACGTCCGCCGACAACTTGGCTCTCTTGCGGCCGGGCTTGCGTCCCGTGGCGCCGGACGCGGGCGCCGACGACGGCGGCGCCACGGCCTGCTGGACCACGTGCTGCTGCTGCTGGTGCTGCGGCTGCTGGTGCTGCGACTGCTGCTGGGCGTGCAGCGACGCCTGCTGGTGCTGGTGCACGAGCTGCGGCGCCCCGAGATCTGCCAGCTGCGTCTGTTCGCACTTGACGGTGGTGGAGTCGGCGGACGGCGGCGGGACGACGATCGTGGCGAACGTCGCCGGCGCCGCGACGGCGAAAACGGCGCCTTGGTTGTAGGCGCCCGGCGGGAACAAGTGGATTTGCCGTTCGTCCAGGTACTGCTGCTGGATCTGAGGGATGTCGCGGGCCTGAACCGGCGCCGGCACCAGCGGGTACGTGTTGGGCGACCCGACCGGCGCCGAGGCCAGCGTCTGGATGATGGGCGACTGCGCAGGTGGCTGCAAAGAATCGGAAGCCCAGACAGGGGATTCAGTACCCACTTCTGTTTACTCGAATGGGGGAAAAAAATAACCCACTCCCCCAGTGCTGTTTTTTCTTCTTTTTTTTTTTTTTTTTTTTTGCTTTTCCGCGAAAGCAAATACCGTTTGGGTCACTAATTCGTTGTAGGGTTCGCGACGAGAGCGACCGAGTGACTGAAACCAAGGCCCAAGCGTCGATCGACGTTATACGATCGCTAGCTGGGCGACACCCGATCCCACTGGGAAGTGACAACCTCCAGCAGGACCCTTCTGTCCCCTTCCCGCGGGGTCAATGGCGGCTCCGGGATTTGGTGCGGAAGTTGGAGTTTAAAAAAAAAGAACATCTAATATTAAGAGGAAAAGAACGTCCGTGTTCGAATGTAGATCGGGAATGCGTTAATTGAGCGTGTGATCGGCTGCCTGCCCGCCCCCCCCCCCCCCCCCCCCCCCCCCCCCCCTAGGGAAACAAAAGAAACACGCCCCCCCCCCCCCCCCCCCCCCCCCCACTACTTATTCGATTTTTTTTTTATTTGTTCTTCTGTGACGGCTTTTTGGGGATGAATGGTGGACCGAATTCGTTCTTGCCGGGATTGAATTCAGGACCCCGTGTGGGATTACGACTGAAGTTGTCGATTTGGTCTGTGGTTCGAATCGTTTCGCGGTGACTTGTTTTGCGTATTCATGAATATCGTATTTACGCGGTGATACGATGCCCATCTTCCCTTAGAAATTTTCCAAGACACGTGGAAAAAGTCCTGTTTTTCCCGATTTTTTTTTTTCAGTGATCTCGAGTGTGGCACGTATAGGCTTTTTCGACGCACTTCTTCAAGTAGCACCGTATGAATCCGTCAAATTTTACAACAACGTAAGAGTAATTTCAATGTACTCTTACTGACATTCCCTTTTATAATATCTAACTCGCGAGGCATATTTTTTTTTATTTCTCAAGGCATTCTCTGGGGATCTTTTTCGCGTAGAGGAAAAGATCCGTCGTTCTTCTTGACAATACATTTTTTCAAGTGCATAGCTGCGTCTGCATGCCAATCAACCCTCGAATTTTTAAAAATCATTTTCGCCTTTCTGTATACTGTATTTGCAAATTTGTGAAGATTTGTTTTCCTTCTTTCCGATTCGTACTCGAAGGATGAAATTCAGAAGGGACAGCAGGTTTTCTGTACGGTACATTCGAAGCGATCATGCATTGCCTTATAGGGAAGAAGCACGAGCCGGTGTGTGCTGCTGGGATTCAAACGAATCTCTTTGTTTTTGGCAATCGGAATCCTGTTTTCTAATGAAAATTAGTTTTTCGTACAATCTCACCATTATTCTCTTCAATTGACCGTTTGTGACGTTCCTTGCCATCTTCGAACGCCGGCCTGGTACTCGGCTGCATCACCGTCACCATTTTACCCTCGTCATTTTCGGCCAACGCGTCTTCCAAGTTATTCACCATCATCGGCGGTGTAACCAGACTCATGGTCCTCGGGACATGAATTTGAAACAACCTGTTTGGCCTTTGTCTGCGTCTGAACAATCGGAGAAGTCCTGACGATCCCGGACCAGTATCCGTTGAGTCCGTTGGATTCGTAGGAACAGTCGGATTTGTAGCATCAGTTGGATTCGTCATTGTTACAGTGGGCGTCAAAGTAGTGCTACTATCATTTGTCGTAGTTGTTATGGGTGTCAGTCCGTTGATAGCCAGCGCCCCGAGGATCCCGAAAGCGGATCCCAGCAGAACCCTCGACAAGGATCCTCCGCCAAAGTGCTTGTAGTGGCTGTCGTAGCCGCCGAAGGACTTGCCGTGCTTCTTGTGCTTGTGATGATGATCGTCGTAGTGGCCCATGCGACCCAGGGCACAGTAGCAACCCTGGTCGTGTCCGACAGCCGGAGGTGCAGCATAGTGTCCCGAGGAACTCGACGAAGAGCTCGGGGCGTATTGACCAGATGAACTGCTGCTGTGGTGGTGGTGGGGATGATGATGATTATAATTGTCTCCGCCGCTGGATGACGAAGATCCGTAGCCATGTTTCTGCTTTTTGCCGAGCTTGGATCGCGGTGACATCTGTTTGTGCTGATCTGGACCGTAGTCCAGCTCGCGCGACATCTGATGTTGCGTTGAGTAACTTCCTTGCTGTTGTGGCAGCGGCTGTTGCTGCTGCTGCTGCTGCTGAGGATAAACCGCTTGGTTTTGGTTCAGCGGTTGGTGTTGTTGGGGCTGAATATCCTGATACGCGGGTTTCGGTTGTTGGGGTTCAGGTGGATACGGGACATAAGGTGGATCCCCGTACTTGGCTTCCCCGGCTTGGATTTGTTGCAGAGTCGAGATTCCGTTGTCGAAGTAGGGTTGTATGTTGTTGTCGTTGTACACCGGATTCGCAAAATTCGCAGCTTCGAAAGAATAGTTGGTCGGTTGGAAATGACTCGAAACTGCGTAAAGCTGCGGCGCGGCCGCCATGTTTGGTTCTCGCACTTTTTTGTTAAAAACGCTGAAAACTTTCTAACGCTAGCTTTCCTTCTTTACGTGTTCGGCTTTTCGGACTTGCGTCAATTATTATTACTTTTCAATAACCTCGTCAATAACCTGCCGACACGACGAACGCATCAGTGTTAATGCGTGAATTCGGGGAACTGACAACTACTGTACGTGTAGTCACTGAACAAGTAAAGACATCCTTTTTGCTCAAGGGAACCGAGGTCTCGTTTTCAAACCCATTGTTTTCAAAATTATCGTGGTCTCTTTGTCATCGTTTCCGAATGAATAATTGCGATTTTATAATAAATACTTGTGTTATTCACATTGAGGGAATACAAAGCGTGGATGCGCAAAGGGTGTGTGTGATTTGAAAGAAAAATTCAATTTTTCACACTATTTTTTACATGCTAATCAATTTGTTTTGTTGAAAATGGGGCAAGTCGAGTGATCAGAATATTAAGGGATATCCTGAATAATTTTCTGATGCTTGCCAACCATTTTTTACTTGACAAATTTTGATACCATGTACCAAGGGAGAAACAAGGAACGAATCGGAAGTAATGCGTCGTATCTACATGATCAGTTTTCAATTAATAAATCTTCAATAAATTCACATAAATATCAGAGCGCTTGCAAATAAATCGTTATACTGTATAATATCACTTTGAAACTTTGAAGGCAGGTATCAAATCGGTAAATTACTTGTAGTCTGGGCAACGTTTTTGATCACCAAGCATGAGATCAAAACCATGTGGATGAGAAACCCAAGAAAAAACTGAACTGAATGGAAGTATTCAGAGAGTTCCTCAATATTTTCCAATTATCTGTTTTTGTACTATTGTATTACCTGTAATTGAAAATTGTGAGAAATTGGACTGCAGAATCCGAAGACCTCTCATGATTTACAAAATGTTGCGGAAACTTTCATCTATGTTTAGGATTATTTTTTCTTACTGCTGATATTCCCGGCAACAAACTTGATTCGCCCAAATTCTGAAGATTGGATAAGATTAATTCATTTCAAACATAAGAAACACTTTTAGAGTTTTTTTCCCCCTCGAACATATGGTAAATTGTCGTTTATGGACTTGATTTTGCGCCACAGAAAACGTGGAACTAGCGAGTATAGTTGTCGCTCCCCCGAATTCCGCTCATCTGTTCTTCCCGTTTTCCTCCACAATTCTATAGTAATTTTTTTTCGATTGTGTGTCGCATCGGTCTTCAGTCATTTGTAGTGCGAGGAGTAGCCTTTTGTTATAGGCGAAGGGAGGAAAACAATGGGCTTGGGAAAACGTTACCTCTCTTCTTTCTGCCCGTGGTAGGGCCGGTGATGGCGTTGATGACTGCGTTGACCAGCGTGTTGACGGTGCCGAAGACGGAGTTGAAGGTGTTCGTGGCGAGGAGGGCGAGAGGGAAGGAAAGAGCGGCAACGGAGAGGAGAAGGCCGTCGTCGCCGCCGCCGAACAGGCCGCCGCCGTATTTTCCGTAGCCGTAGTGGTCATCGCGACCGATGGCGCAGTAGCAGCCGCCGTTCGGTTTCTGCACTCCCCAGTAGCCGCCCAACACGTAGTCGCTGTTGAAAAGAAAGTATGGCATTTTATTTTGAAATATATATACAGGTATTATGGAAAATATCAGCAGCAGGAAGTGGAGGAAGTGGCTGAATTAGGTTCAGGCGAGGCATGATTTTCCGGAGGAAAAAAATTATAAATGTTTTTTTTAAGGAATACACTTCTCAAGAGCTTATTATACCTTAGAATTTTAGATCAAAGCAAGACGCGCGGTCGATTTTTGAACATTTTCCCTATAAGAGATGAGGATAGAAGCATGATATCCTGACTTTTTTTCTCCGCATTTGAAGGTATTTTCAGAGCATTGAAAAAAATGTGTGCTTCGTGCTCGATTAAATCCGAGTAATTTTACAAAGCGGTTGATATGAATATTTAAATGATCAACTATCTTTCAAGAATTACTTCCGGGTAATTAACTTGGATAATAACGAAACAGCTCACAATTTGTTCTTGGTAGCTTATTTTAAATCTACACAACTCCGCTTATCCGGACTTATGATCAAATTTATTCACAAGAAGCGAATCAATCGTCAAATTGGGAATTTAAATCGAGCCGTTTTTTCCCGCTCTGATTGAAAAATTATTCGGGAAAATTCCTTTCAAAAGAGTCACCAGAGATGGCACCCAATATTATGCAAGGCCATCGTTGAATCTCTCTCTTCATCAATCGAAGAGAATATTCAATTGTCTCTGTTGAAAACGCGCAGCTTAAATTTTGAAAAAAATGTGTGAATCAATGCTCTTCTGCTTTTTAAAACTCCGTTATATTCTGGATTCAAGTTAGACGCGCATCCGTTTATTCCGTGCCTAAATTGAAGGATGAAATTGTGCGTGGTACATATATTTGAAAGGAACTAAATTGCCATTTTTTCGAAGCGGTTGAAAAATAAATGCACTTTTTTCTTACGCAATTATTCGCCATAGTAGATTTCTGTCAAACGTCCGGTTCTTAGCCCGGCTAATCGAATTATCATTGCATTCTTGAAGCAAGAACTTTTTATTCGTTATTTTAAAAATTCAAGGTTCACGTCATCCGCAAAGACAGCTCCGAATTAAAATTCCCAGTTTCCCTCGGACAGTTAGAAATAAGGCAAACATATACAGTACGTTGAAAATTCTTTCAAGCGGAGCAAAGAATGAAAGGAATACATTTTTAGTGTCGCTGGTAGTTATTTATTTCAAAAATCCCTGGGTTTCCTGCTCCCTTTCCGATTACGACTGAAACGCGCATCAAACGCAGAAAAATCGTCGATATTTTTTCAATCTGGTAAAAAAAAATATCCTGGAGTGAAATAATACTAGCCCTTTATATTTTTATACGCCAGTATAAACGTTACGTCGAATAGCAAGTCATTCCGGAAGGACAAGGACTCTTAATAAAATAAAAAATCTTCCTCGCTTTGAAAAAAAAAAATTTCTGGTGCAAGCATAACAGTCGCCCGTTTTGAAAGATGACTGGGCATAACTTGGGGATGGATGCAATTTTTTTTTTGCAAAAAAGTACTGCATATCATTGGGCGAAAAAGCCAAATCTTACCTAATGAACGAAGATACTGTATAGACTTATGAGATCCTGAATTGTATAGCATTTGAAGGCAATTTCGTTGGGCATCCTCAATTTTGTGAATGGGTTACGATTTAATTCTATTTGCTAATCCTGACGAAAATGACATGATCAAGTCGAAAGATCTGAAAATTTTTAAAAAGACGCTTCATCAGGAATATGTCCCGAAAGAGTCCTGAAAATGCTTTGTGTGATAGTAATTACTGTACCTTAATTCTGAAGCAATGAATAGTGTGCAAACAAAGGACTTATTTGGAATTAAGATAATATGAATCTTTCTCGGAACTTTACAAGTGTTTATAGGCTTGAAATATGATGTAAATTCCGAAGTTTGTGCTGTAAATTAATATGACGAGGTCTAAAAGCAAAAGCATCGCAGCAGACGAGTTATCTTTCATGACTGATTCATAAATTCTTCTAGCCTCTAAGGAAAGCATCTTTAAATTCATTTTCGACGTAAAGTTTTTGCATGGAGGAAGGCAAAGAAATCTCGTTTAATAAATTTTGTAAACACTATTTCCTAAAATAGCGAATCACTGAAAATCTTTTCGGAATGAATGAGTGGGGAGGGTAATTATTCAATTTTTCTCTTTTCGAACATAATTACGCGTGACAGGTCTGAATGCCCCGCAAGTGGGCATTTCCAATTGAAAGAATCAACGCATAGCCAAAATTTTGCTCCGAGAAATATGAAAAAGTATCAGCTTGTATAATAGTTCGAGGACTGCGTCGCGCAATTATAAAACTCATGACCTTACGTTAAACTAATGATTTGTGATATCTGCACCTGCAATTTTAAAATTTCTTTTCAATTCTGTGAGGTCACCGTTGACATNCGCGTGACAGGTCTGAATGCCCCGCAAGTGGGCATTTCCAATTGAAAGAATCAACGCATAGCCAAAATTTTGCTCCGAGAAATATGAAAAAGTATCAGCTTGTATAATAGTTCGAGGACTGCGTCGCGCAATTATAAAACTCATGACCTTACGTTAAACTAATGATTTGTGATATCTGCACCTGCAATTTTAAAATTTCTTTTCAATTCTGTGAGGTCACCGTTGACATTCAAAAATAATGCTGATTATACCGGAAACATTATTGTCTATCACGACTTTGATAGCGTTCGATTTTGCAGATAACGCCGGAAGGAAATTAATCGCAATTTGCCACCCACATTTGATTCAACAAATTCCCTTCTAAACATTTATTCTTCTAGGAAGAAACATTTACAGATTGTTTTGCCCTTCTATGATTCTTTAATTTATCCAAATTGTATTCCGAGCAAACGAAGTGCGCTTATTTACGCTGAGTTAATAGGAAATAGGAAGCATAAATTATGGTTTTTAGTCACTTTAGGTAGCATCATCATCTTGACTAATGTTTCTTTTTTTTCGTGTTTGAAAGAAAGTGGATTCCGATGTTGTTCGTATTTCAACGCGGGTACGCTCTATAACGAAGTACAGTACTGTAATTGCTTTATTTAGAGACTGCGTACTACTGAAGAAACGTTTCTTGAGATTTCATCCAGGAATTTCTTTGTCCGCGGGTGGTTCAGAAGAAGGAACCAATTTCGACTCACTGCTTCTTATGCTTCTTCTTCTTTCGGTGCTTTTTGCCTCCGTGGTGGTACCCACGACCAGATCGCGAAGAGAACACAGTGTCTGGCAGCGCAGCCGACAAACAATCGTTTATCACCGCCGTCGACAGCGTGCCCCAGTCCTTGGGCGTGAACACGTCGAGCAGCACCGGCGCCGTACCTGTCGTGACCGCCCCCGCGAAAAACTCGGAAAAGTTGCCGATCTGCGTCGTCATCTCGCGGTTTTCGATGATGCTATTTTTTGTCTGAT